TGCTCTGGGCTCAGGCTCCCTCTCTACCTAACATTGGATTTGAAACACTACGGCTGAGCCATCTGCTGTATTTGGGGAATATAGGGTGGGGTGAGTAATGCATCTTCCAAATGTGTCCAAATAGGGTGATCAGGGGAAGGATAATAAGACAGAAATGCTTGGTTGGAGCCGAGAGCCCTGGTCAGCTGCTCAGAGGTTTCTCGGGATATTTGTGTTCTCTGTCTCACATCAAACCGGTCTCGGCTTGTGCATCTTACTGTTTTTTGGCAGTAAGATATCTGCTAAATGCTCTTGCGGAAGCGAATGTTTTAATGGCGACGTGAGAATTCTGAAGTTCAAAAACAGCCTGCGATGGACTGAAAAGTAACTATTCTTGAAAAATGCCTTTTGAGCCCTCAGCATCTCGTATAACTAACGCATCTGGAGCAGCCGCGATTCTTGTTCCTCTCCTTGCTATGGACCCGTTTCCAGCTGAGCTGGATACGTGCCCTTCCAGCTCTGTGCAAGGGTTTTGGTGGGCTGTCTGCAGGTTTTATTGAACATCTGTAAATCCCCAGGTTGGGTATGCTTCCAGCTCCTACTTTAATCTCTTTCTGAGATGCAGTGCTCTAGGTTTTGAGTATGTGGGGCTGGGGAGGCATCAGTCTCCCGGCTGCAGGAGAAGGACTGACGGGTTTCTAGGCAATATGGAACATGATAGGAGCTTTTAGGAGACAGCTGTTGCCATCTTTAGCACAATGTGCACATCTTTTTCTCCCCAAGAGAAGGGTAAATGCTTGAGAAACACATTTTTCAAGTTATGTCTGACAGAGCATAGAGGGGCTGCATGGGGAAGGAAAATTATACATTAATTTTCCAAATATTTATTCTTTCTGAGCAGGGAGTCTGACCGTGGAGATACATCTGTGAGGATGGCCTAGACACTTGGTGGAGATGCGCCCAATAGGTGAAGTACATTGTCAGGGTGACTAACAAGCATCTGTGCTGTGGTCTGTGTCAAGCCTTGTTGTTACTATCTCAGAAGCTGGATTCCTGTGAGACTCGTGGTTGGCTTGCCTGAGAAACTTCTAGAACTTGGATTCACACACACTTCAGCCTTTTCCCAGAGCATGACTAGAATCAAGAGAAAAGTCTCTCTATCTGCTGTCCCCACACTTGCCTGGCACCTTCTGTGAGTCTGTAAAAGTCTGTGAACTTCAGCCAGACTTCAGTACCATTCAGTCAGTCTCTCAGGAGGGAGTCTTTACTGAGACATTTTTTCTGCCTCTTCCCACAGACATGTGAAATACTCCTTCCCTTTCTCTCACAATCTGGGATGTTCGAATCTTCTTTTCTAATCTTTGAAGACACATACTCAATTTAGAACATGCAAATCCCAAAACTTCAAGTCAATAAAAAGTTTTCCTTCCATTAAGAAAAGAAAAACAAAATCAGACAAAAGAAATTGTCTAAATTCTCTGTACATTTAGCTTCTTTGCTTGCCTGGGAATATGGCATAACTGAATTGAAGCTACAGTCTGGTGGTGACCCAAGGATTTCTCTGCTATCATCATAAGAGTTAAAAATGATATGGTAACGAGCTTGAATAGATGTCCTCCTCTGGAATCATTCTTTATGCTAAAGGCAACCTTCCTAGGAGGTAGGTCTTCGAAGGGCCCAGGGTAACAGCTCAGTGATAAAAATAATGACAGTGAAAATGACATTTATTGACTGTTTATGGGCCAGGCCCTTTATGAATACTGCCTTCAATCTCACGTCCTTTCAAGCTATTCTTATTCCCCTTTTAGAGAATAGAACAACCGAGGCTCAGCATTGATTGACTAAGCTTATAGAGCTTACTGAGTGATACAGTTGAGATATGAACTCAGTTCTGGTTTCCAATTCTATCTCTGTAGTTCATATCCTCAAGGTCTTTCTCTAGATTTAATTATAGTCTCAGAGAATCCAAAGCACTGAGCAAACTGTCATTAGGAGATACTGGTACTTAGGATAGTCATGGTAGCCTTGCTTCAGTGGCTGAGGAACTGCAAGAAACTTTGCAGACATGATTTTATCTACTTTTCACAATAACTTGGAATGTGCCTTCTTCAACCTTTAAGTGGTGCTAACCCTGTAATTCATATTGGAGTCCCTGGTAAGCACAGATAAGCCCAGGACACTTCACGGTCATCTACTGCAGTCTCACAGGACTCAGATACCTCAGCGTTCGCCTTTCATTCCTTGTATCCTTCTGCTTGGTTCAGGTTCCCTAGTCCCAACACCAAAAAAAAAACCAAAAAAACCCCAAAAAACCCAGCTTTTTACTTCCAACCCCGCTTTTGCTCACTTGTTTACTTTTGATTTGTTAACCTTTGTTTTCTTTTTCTTTTTGGTCCCAGCTAGAACCACAGTGTCAAAGATTTTTGACTGTCTGACAGTCTGTGACGTTTAGTTGATCTAATAGTACAGCCCATCGAGAACCAAATTAAATTAGTAGACCAGTTAAGCTGGGGAGTTGTCGGGTAGGAAAGCCTTCTCAGACTCACATTAAATGTAGATGTCAGCTGGGTCACTTCCTATAGTGTAGTGCCAGTAATTCTGTAGTTTAGATCTTAGGTTCTAAATTTATTTAGAAATATGAAGCAATGGAGAAAAGTGTTTTCAAGCCATTCTTTCAGGACCACACTTCTTTTTTATTGGTACACATTCATTGTGCACAGTGATGGTTTTCATAAAGACATTTCATCCAAGTATATTATGTACTTCGCATATTCATCTCCCTCATCCTCCTCTTTCCTTCCTTCTCCCTCTTGCTGAGTGTCCTCCCTTCTTCTAGTCTTGCTTTTGTTTTCATGTAATTATACACATATACGTCTACATGTATGTGTATATATATGTGATTTTATTTATGTATATGAAATCCAAGATCTGCAAAATAAGAGGAACCATGGATGTCATCTTAAGTCTGGCTAATTTTGCTTAACATGTTCATCTCTCATTGTATCCATTTTCCTGTGAATAACACAATTTCATTCTTCTTTATGGCTGAATAAAACTCTATTGTGTATATGTACATATTTCTACATTTCTGGTCTTCTGTTGACATACGTCTTAATAGTGTATGGAAAATAGGAATAAATTGCTTTGGAGGACAGCATGAAAAGACACCAAGGTAGATTCTTGAGTAGCAATATCCAGGCAAGAGGTAAATGGCAAAGTGAGACCAGGGAAGAAAACATTTAGAGACTTAAAGCACAAAGTGCTTTTCCCATGTTAGTACTAAATACTCCTGTAGATAACACTGAACACTTATTTCACAAAAACAAAATAAAAATAACATCAATTTACAAACTACCAGATTGTTTGCCTACATTGAAGTCAGTCTCCTTCTGACCCTGAGCCCACCAGCCATATGATCTAGATGCTAAAACTAGGTTCTTTGGTTGCTGCTCATCGCCTGCCCCTTCCTCCACCTGAGAAGCGCTAGATTAGATGTAGGTACAATTGTTGTCATCATGATCATCCTATCGGTTTTCAGTGAGAAAACGTATCAAGGCTGATGATCTGGGACACTGCAGTGGCTTCCGAAACAGCACCTTGATCTTCCATAGATGTCTTTGAAAGGAAACTAACTCTGTTCTAAAAATCTGACAATGGTTGTAGAAGATCGGAACTCAGTATATACTTCCCATCAAATGAGGCTCCTCTGCTCTCTTACTACTGTATTGGGAATGCTTGTTTCTTAAAAGTATCCAGAGGAAGTGGAAGACATTAGTACTCACTCCTTATTCTAGAGTATATTCTCAACAGCTGTCAAAAAGCACTCTAGTGTCTTTAGTGACTGTGGTTAAAAGATGCCTGCACCTTCTTTCTCATGACTATATTGCTACATGCTTTATCTGACCAAGAGTTTGGTGTGCAGATCAGGAACATTTCTGCTAAAGGTGGCTCAAGGCTCAAGGATTCTTTTGCTTGGGATTTTATGTTCTCTTCAAAAGTTTAGGGGAGAAGAAATCAAGACAACATAGCAAACAAATCATTTCTATATGTTATATGAAAAGTGAACTTAAGTTAAAATCTATTTAAGAGTTCAAACCATTTATAGGTATGTGGTATGAGGATGCTGATGGGCATTAATTAGGGTATCAAAGTCCTAAATCAGCTGTGGTTTGGAGTGGTGGTGGTGTCCTAGGCATTTTTTCCTTTCTTCCTTCCTTCCTTCCTTCCTTCCTTCCTTCCTTCCTTCTTTTTTTGAATCAGGGTCTTCCTGTAGCCCAGCTGGTCTGAACTCCCTATATAGACCAGGCTGGCCTTAATCTCACAGAGGTGCACCTGCCTCTGCCTCCCAAGTGCTGATATTAAAGGCGTGTGCCACCAACACCTGGTCCTTTTTCTTTTTAAAGGAAGAATAGGTATTTGAGGTTGTCAGAGAGCCCTGTACAGGGAAGATGGTTTAGGCAAGCTACTTAATAGCATTCTTTATGCATTTTCTCAATAGCAAAATGGATAGCTGGGAGGGTTAAATAAGTAAGGACATGAATGCGTAAAACAACACGTAGGCACTTCTGCCAAGGGAGCTGCTGTCACAGATAAAAGCCACCTCATGGGCTGGAGGGGCAGCACTGCAATTCCAGCTCAGGGCCACTAGGAAGGAAAGCAGCAGGATGGCCTGGAGACCAGAGAGAAAAGTCTAGACCAGGGGCTGCTGGCTTGTCAACCTTAGAGCTTCACATGCACACACCCATATGTGCATCAGCACCTACATACATGTATGTCCCCATATGTGAGAACATGCATACACACACCACAGAAACAAGCACAATATATTGTGTTTGTTTGTTTGTTTGTTTGTTTGTTTTGGTCTTTTTGAGACAGGGTCTCCCTATAGCTCTAGCTGGTCTTGAGCTCGCTATGTAGACCAAGCTGGCCTCCAACTCAGACTCTGCCTCCCAAGTGCTGGGACTAAAGGTGTGTGCCACCATGCCTGTCTACAAAAATATTTTTTGAAAAAGAAGAGGAACCCAACATGGATATCCCAGGAGGTCACTTTCCCTGAGCTCTGTCCTAGTGGTATAGGGGAGCATAGGGCTCCACCCCATGATGTATAGTCCTTTTCCACAATGTTAGAGATGAAGCTGGGCTTCGAGTCTTTGTCTACCTATTCCTACGACTTCTCAGAGTCCTGTGGACAATGACTGGGGAGACAAACCATTCAGGAAACAGCCCTAGATCACTCAGTCTGGGAGTAAGGCTGCTTTATGATAATCTCCATTGTCAACTTGATTAAATTTGGAATCATGGAAGAGATGCACCTCTGGGCATATCTGTGAAGGCTTTTACAGAGAGGTTTATAGATCAAGGTTACAGCTCATCCTGGCAACGAAGTCAAGGCAGGAAGAGCTTGAAGCAGCTGGCCATATCACATCCACAATCAGGAAACAGATCGAGGAATGCTATCATCCTAGGCATTTTCTAAATACCTTCTTCCACTAGCCTGGTTTACTTTTCTGGACAGAATTGCTCACTTTTCCAGATTAAGCTACTTTTCTCCCAAATCTTTTATTATCTTTTTATTTTTAATTATTTTTTATGTTGATGTACAAAGTAAAAGGTCTTATCTTGACATATCCTTATGTATCATTACACTCTGTTCTCATTAATTCCGCACCCTCACCCATCACCACTTCCCTTCCTATTTTGGCCCCCCACCCCTTGCTCCTGAGGTTCTCTTGCCTTTCCAAGTTAGTCCCAACTTCTGCTCTCTTATTCGGTGTATTCCATTACACTCTCTACTTCCCATCTCCCTTAACCAAAATGTTAATCTGTAGTTTCTTTGCAATTGTTAAAAGGTTAGTATTCCCTGTTCAGCATGGAAGAAGCCAGAGCAGTCTGCATCCCGATTCCCTATTGGCAATTTAGGTAACGTCTTCAGAGGATGGTGTGATAAGAATAGGAGGTAGGAATTGGCTAGGCAGTTGGGGTAAAAAGACCCCAAAGAAAAGTAGCCAGTTTCTTGGCTAAAACCTACAATGTTCTTGGGCCTGTTAGCAACATACTCTGTTCCAAAGGCCAAAAATGTTGAAAGTATTTGGGAGCTTGTATCTAACCCTTAAAAGATTTTAGGGTTACTTCTTCAGAGAGGGGAATGTTAGAGTAGCCAAAAGCCCCATAAAAATAAATAAATAAAAGAAGAAGAAAGAGTACGTGACGTTATCAGAAAAAAGTGACGGGGAGATATGGGAGGACTTGGAGAGGAGGGAGTGGGCATGGATTTGATCAAAACACCTTATATGCATGTGTGAAATTCTCAATAAATTATTATTTTTTTTAAAAGGTTAGTATTCAAGGCAGGGCCTCAACAATCTATAATTTTTAACCATTCTACAACCATTTTTCTTACTAGTCTTTTTTCTAAATCCTAGTGTGTATGGGGAGAGTCTGATTCATCCGGGATGTCTGTCTGTGATCCTCATTGTGCAGGGGAGCATACACGCTTACAGAGCCAGGGCTGGAGCTTTCCTCAATCATTCTGGTGCCCGTTCTCCTTGGCTGAATATTGTGCTATAGACTCTTCCATTCCTGTTTCTGAGGCAGTGTTCTGGAATCTTCTATAGGAGTGCTGCTCCTGGTCATTAGATCAGCCCTGGCCAGTGGATGGTTCTGTGAGACCCCAGGAATTGCAGTGCTGGTTGGAAAGTCATGGCTCCATTGAAGACTGCAAACTCACTAGCTTGTCTTTCTGAACAAGAAAAGCCACAGAGATCTAGAGGGAGCAGATATCAGTCCTTGTGCTACTGCTTAAATTTAACAGAAGGCTGGCCTGGGGAGAACCACAGAAAAAAAGAAAGTAAAGAAGAGAAGATAAACCGAGGAGGTGACGGGGAGAAAACCCAAACTTGCTGTCTTTGGTCCAACGAGACCTGCTCATTGTCAAAAGGAGCCTGCGACACGAACAAAAATTACAAACCGCCTATTTTGTCCAGTTCCAAAGACTAGTCAAATGTACTGAAAGGTGGTTATTAATTGCTAGGAAGTATGGAAATGCTATATGCTCCCTCTTCATTATTTTAAATTAGTAAAATATATTGCAGGGTATATTGGTCTGCCAAATTCTCGAATACACTGAAATCAGATACCATCTACATGTGTATAGTCCTTCCAGAAAATACTATTCCCATCCTTTAACAGAGGCACTCAATCCACTTGAGACAGACAAGAGAAATTCTTTGGGAATAATAGTGTCTTCTCCCTTGGAAAGGCTTGATGTGCTGCAAAGTTACTGCCATATGGTTCTCACAAAGGTTCTGCCAAAATTCCCGTGGTTCTCACAAGAGCTCCTACCTCTCCGTTCTTCTAATCTCCTGCTGCGGTGGCAGACATGGGAGAGACAAGCAAGCTGCGATGGGAAGGGAAGTCAAATTAAAGCCCCACAGTCGTTTTCTTGTGGTTGTAGATGCCGGTCCTTCCCTCACTCTCCTTGACGAGGTATGTGTGAGATCCCACAAGGGCTGTCTGGAAGAGATCCATGGACGTCACTGTATTTTGTTAAGAAGCTGGAGGAGAATAGAAAGCAAGTTAATTTATATCTGTTGCAAAGCCTGGTGGGATGATGGGAGGGGTGGTGTGCTGAGAGTTTGAAGGCAGAAATCTTCAGGGGTTTTGACTTTATAGAAAACAGGGCATAGTACCTAGAAGTTACCCCGAATTCACAAAATGCCTTAACAGCATGTGGATGGGGCACCCTATGGGAATACTACTAACAGTCCTGGTTATGTGTAACAACAGGTAGGAGTCGGGGAACAGGCTCTGCACCCAAGTGAATGCTGGGCCAGCTTCTTTTCTTTACAGGATTATGATTGCTTTGAGTCCCTTCTGTTTCCTGGTGAGTTGTATTAGAGTGGCTTTTCCCAACCCCTACTGAAGTCTACATATTGAAGTGAGGAACACCATCCTTCTATCAAAACTTACAAATTGCTCTTGTGGGTGAATGACAGCCTTATAAGACAGATTGGTAAGGTCTGGATTCATAATGTGTTTTATTGCTTGTTAAATGTTGAGTGGACATTCTGAAGTAGATTCTTTGAGATTAATTAGAACTTACTAGCTCTATAATAGTGCTCAGTAAGTTGGATGGAGATTCATTTTCTAAACCTTGGGTATGTGTTGGCTTTTGATTTTTATTAGCAACTTCCTTAAATCACCTATTTCATGTTGCTATGAGTGTTAGATGCAGGCAAAGGGAATTTGGACCTTTCAATTAATTCAAAAAGTACACTGAAGATTTATAAAAATCTTTAGTCTGGTGTTGCTGAGCCTGGCAAGTCCAATGGAGCTTCAGTCTTTGACCTGATGTCACTCATTCCCTGGTTGGTGTATTGTTTGGCCCATCAAGAGAAAATTCACCACAAATATCGGAGCGCGACAAAGTGAGATAAAGGTTACCAAGGAATAACATTTATACTGGCCTTCGCTCTGTCTGTGCTAGTTCATTGGTGACCTTTCCCTATCTTAGAAGATGTTTATCTTTTCACTGAGCTATGGGGTACAGTTGGTATGCCCTTCCTGCCCCTCTGCTCAGAGTCCTACACCAGCCTGGAGCGTGATTCTCACAGTGCAGGTGGCCCCAGGCTTCTACTTGATTGGACCAGGCAGTGAATAGATGATTCACTTCTCTCCCCTTCCCTTTCCCTATTAGAATTGTTTCTGCATGTGTGAAGATGAGATAATTAAATACATCCTTGAAGGATACAGAAAACAACAACACCTTCTTCCTTGACTTCTGGGGAGTACAGTCCCTTGAACCACCAGGTTGTCTTATCAAATGAGTTATTGTTTTTCAAAATATAGCCTGAATGGCATCCTTTCTAATTAAGGCTTCTGGCTTTCAGATTAACGTGATATTTGCCAGTAAAAGCCTGCCAAAAAATAAATAAATAAAAGCAGGCTTACCGTTAAATATTGATTTTAGCTAGGAAACCGGCTCCAAATTTTGTTATACCAGTCTTGATCTCCACGGCCTCTGGGCATCTGTTTCAATTTGGTCAAATTGAAATGGGGAGGGACAGTGCCAGGCTAACAGCCAGGTGATCCAATATAGCAGAATGAGTTGTATTTGATGAAAAAGAGTCAGGCGCAGTCATCTATAGGTCCTGGGGACAGGTGAACAGGACTCAGATAAAATAAGAGAGGATGGGCATCTTCAGCCATCTTGTGGGCTGACCTGAGCTGATGATTATTTTTATTTTTGAAATGTAAAGCACATGTTGAGTTATCTTTGGAGAGCAGTATGTTTGTCTGTTTTCCTTTCTTCGTCTCTGGCTCTGTGCAATCTTTTTCTCCTACTGATCTGGATGGACACTTTTCCTCAAAAGCCTTCATGTCATTGGTAAGGATTTTAAAAGTCCAAAGACAATTTCTTTCCCCCTAGGAACCACATTTCTCAATCACTACTCCAAGCTTTTTTTTCCCCTATTTAGAAAGTGGATAGTAGGAATGTTCTCCTGAACGAACATGCTTGTGAACTGTTATTATTCATCTGTGTGTCTGACAAGAGAAGGCAAACAGGAAGAGGGAGGGTTAAAGTTCCCAGAGAAAAGGGCACTGGATGCAACTGAACTCCATGGGGGCAAAGTGCCTGAGATCTATTAGTTTTGACAACCCCACTTATTCCAGCGTCTCTCGTCATGTGTAAAGGGAACAAAGGCTGATAAACAATGATGAGGCAAGGTACTGGTTTGTATTTCCAGACTCATAAATATTTCACAATACCATTTTCTTACAATCAGATACATTAGTTTGCCAAATGGAAATGTGGCTGGATGTGGATGTTTACACAGTGCTGGTGTTTAACAAAAGCTCCTGCTTTCAAAAGCAGCAGGCATGGGGGTAGGAGGCCTGACTCTGAGGTGTGCCTCTTGCTTACTACCCCACCTGGCTTCCAAAGGTATGTTCTAATTCATAGAAAGGAGTTGGTATTTGACCTCTGGAAGCTGCTGGTATCTACTCTGAGAAATGTGTTATTAGACTCTATAGCAAAAAAGCACCAACCTTAACCGCACACTCCTGTTCTCCATCTCTGGCCCTGCAGACACCCTTGTCCTTCTTTGTAGTCCACCCTGTGGACAGCAGAATCAGGCACCAAAAGGTGAATTTAATTTGGACAAAACTTTGTCTTGATAGAACTCCCTTTATCCATGCTCAAACACAGCAACCTGCAATTTCCTTA